CAGGTAGGTAAAGCTTTGGAGCCCCCCCACCCGAAATCCGCTCTCGGATCTCCCAGATTCCGGGAGGGTGGGGTTTATGGCTGAGCACCGCTGAGCTCTGCTGAGTCCCCAGACGCCGCTAGGGGGTGAGGCAATCCGGTGGCTGAGGCTCTCTGGCCTTTGCAGACCCCGCGGAGGCCGAGGGCAACCCCGAGGCGCGTGAGAGCAGCTGTGTCATGAAACAGACGCAGTACTACTTCGGGTCGGTGAACGCCTCCTACAACGCCATCATCGACTGTGGAAACTGCTCCAGGTGCCGGCAGAGGACCGGGGGGAGCCCTGTCTTAGGGCGGCGGCCGGGGGCGGGGTCGGGGTGGAAAGGGCGGGGCCGGTGGGCGGGGCGGACCTCAACGCCCCGCCTTTCGGTGACGCCGCCAGGCTGTTCCACGCGCAGAGACTGACCAACACCAACCTCCTCTTCGTCGTGGCCGAGAAGCCGCTGTGCAGCCAGTGTGAGGCTGGCCGACTGCTGCAGAAGGAGACGCACTGTATCCTGCCCCCGCCGCCCTCAGCCCCCTCCCGCCCCGCGCGCCCCCTCTGTGTGCCGCCGCTGCCGCCTCCTTGACTCCCCACCCATGCCCAGCGGACGGCCCGGAGCAGTGCGAACTGGTGCAGAGACCGAGATACCGGAGAGGCCCGCACATCTGCTTCGACTACAACGCGACGGTGAGGGGAGGGGCTGGACGCCCGCCCTCCTACCCCAGGGCTGGCGCGGCCCTGTCCTGGGCCCCCCAGGCCGACCAGCTCCTTGTCTCTCTTCCACAGGAAGATACCTCAGATTGCGGCCGCGGAGCCTCCTTCCCGCCGTCGCTGAGCATCCTGGTGTCCCTGCAGCTGCTGCTCCTCCTGGGCCTGCCTCCCGGGCCACAGGCTCCAGTGCACGCCCAGGCCTCCCGCCGCCTCTGAGCGCCCTCCCCGCCCCAGGCCTCTCGCTCTCGCCCCACACCCGCACCTTAGGTCCTCACCCCCGTCCTCCCGAGGGACCTGAATGCACCGGGCCCCTCCAGTCTTAGCCTTGGAGTTGGGGGTGGGGGAGTCCCACAGGAGAGCGCTGCAGGGCTTTGGCCCCCAAGCCACACCTGCTGCTGAACTGTCATAGTGTCCCCAGACCCCTCATTCCCGATGGACTTACCCACCCCCAGGGTTGGGACAGGGAAGCCACAGTACCGATGCCAAACTAGGCCCCACTGCCTGTCCCACCCCAGGCTCCCTTTGTGAGGGAGAACTAGGCCCTGCCCCAAAGGGATTCCTCTGACTGGGCCCCTCCACCCCCCCAGGACCAAATCTGGGTTCCCTGAGAATAATGGAGGAAGTTGAGAAGGGCAGTTTGAGCCCTGTGCATCTCAACTTAAGTCCCCCCAGGAGGGAGGTCCCGAGACAGCCCCACAGTGGGTTCCAACTCCTCTCGGCCCGCACCCTCCCCCAAGCACTTCAGGTGCTCAGACAGCACCAGTGAAAGTGGCTCAGACACAACCCCATGCACACCTGGAGCCCCGAGGGCAGAGACGGGACCCACGGTGGACAGACACATCTGGAGGACACACAGACACAGACGTGCGCGTGGTGGGTGGAGGTGGGGCTCCCAGTCCTACACGGGCGAGGGCTTGGCGGGAGGGTTGATGTGCACTCTCCGTCCTACTCACCGCCCCTCTGATCGGACCCGCAGCCCAGCTGGTCCTCCATCTCTAAAGCTGAATGTCAAACAGTGCCAAATGCTGGGGCAGGGGGTGACGACTTCTCTGTCCCACCGTAGCCGCCAGTGCCCCCTAAATGCCCCCCACCCCAGGTGCTCATTGTAACCATTTATCACTAGTGTCGTGCCCCAGGTGGGACCCCACGCCACTGCCTGTGCCCCTGGGCAGAGGAGCCCTCACCAGACATCGCCCTTTGCCTTAGCAGGGTGACTTCACTGCTCCTGGCCGGGCCGTTCCACCCCCAGTCCAGCCCTGACACACTCAGGCCTGTGCCCACTTCCCCTTTCCTTCCCATTCACACACACACACTCCTTGTCCCCTGTAGGCCAAACTGCTCCTCCCTGCTGAACACTTGCACACACATACACACAGAGGCCAGGCCTGGGCACACTTCTTCACACCATCCATTCCGGTCATTTCCTCCAAAGGCATCCAGCCTGGGGGCTGGTGGGGGACTGAGGGCAGGGGGCTGTGGCCATGGGGCTCAGATGGACAGGGAGGAGGGGGGAGGGTGGATGCATTAATTAATGGCTCCGTTAATTAATGTCATGTTGCTTGTCGCTTTCTCAGTGTGTGTATGGTCCATGCCCGTTGCTGGTGCCCGGGTGGGCGCCCACGAAGTGTGCCCAGCCCCGGTGCCAGCCGTGTCTTGCGGGGGTGTGTGTGTAACTGTAGTGTAGTTAAGTGCTCAATGGAGAGTATAAAAATAAAAAAGAAACAAACATATACAGAAAAATAAATATATATTTTAAGTTTGAAAAACAGACAAAACAATCCCCATCAGGTAGTTGTCCAACCCCCAGCTGGGTCTGATCCTTCTCACCGCCCACCCGACCCGGCTGCCCCTCACCTCGGACTCGAGGGACCTGGGGGGGCCATTTCCTTTTCTCTGCCCTTTTATTTTGGTTGTTGTCCTATTTTGTACAGACAAGTTGGAAAAACAACAGCGACAAAAAGTCAAGAAACTTTGTAAAATATTGTGCGTGTGATTCCTTGTAAAATATTTTCAAATGGTTTATTACAGAAGATCAGTTATTAAATAATGTTCATATTTTCACTTCAAATGGTTCCCATCCACTGTGTCTGCCCTGGGGAGGGGATGGGGTAGCGTGAAGACAGGCCGCCTTCATGACCTCAGAGCCCCACTTAACACCCAGCTAGGAGTGCAAGCCAGAGCGTCCAGTCCTGGGTGTAGGGCATGGTAGGCGTGCCTCCTCCCCAGCTTCCTAAACATCAGACACTAGAATCCTGTGCCTTGAATAATCCCAAAAGCACTGAGGGGGAAGGGGCAGAAGGGGGAAACTCCCAGAGGCTCAGAGAGATGAGACGTGGGTTAAGACAGGCATCCAGCAACCAGGTCAGACCACCCTGGCCTAGGGGGCAGGTCCTCCACCGGAATTGAAGAGTGAGTATTGAGCCTAAGTCTGGTACCCGGCACTTGAGGACCCAGCGCTGCTGGTGGGAGGAGCCAAGGTCCAGTCCACATAAAGGCTTAACCACTGCTCTTCCCAGCCCAGGCTAGACTCAAGGCCCGGTGCTCTCCATGGTCACCGCAGTTCACGATGGAACCCCACTCCCCGGTGCATTTTAATCCCAACCCTTGATAGTCAACCCCAGTCCATGTGACCTTCGAGTTCAAGAGGAAAGACATGACCACCCACGCCAAGGTTTCCCAGTGCTACCAACACGGTACACACTCAGCACCCATCTGGGGGCTTCTGGCTGGGTCCTCACTCTAGCCTTAGAGCTCATCCCCATACTGCAGATGAGCAAACTGAGACAGGAGAAATTCATTCTCCCTAGTGAGAAGGGCAAGAAACCAGCCCAGGTTTTTGAGAGGAGGCGTTCTGTGGCTGCGGGGCCTTAGATGCTGCATAAAGGGCCTTCCGGGCATTGGCAAACACATCTTTCCTCACTCCTTTGCAGGGGCTGGCCACAGAGCAATGCCTCACTCGAAACTCCGAGACAGCCCGGCAATAGCCCCACAACGGCCCCGGAGATCCTGGGTTGGGGTTGCCAGATAAAATATAGAACATTCAATCAAATATGAATTTAAGATAAGTGACAAATATTTTTAGTATGTTTCCAATATTGCATGGGACATAACTATTCTAAAAAAAATGAGGACATGCATAATACTAAAAATAGTATTCACTTACTTGAAATTCAAATTTGATTGAGCACCTTGTATTTTGATTTGCTAGATCTGACAATCCTACCATGGTGTGGCACCCAGTGGGGACTCAGACCCCAAAATTAAAAGGTGCCAACACCCTTTGCCACCTGGAAGGCTATGCACATGTTGGCAGTTATACCGAGATCAGTAGCTGAAAGGAAGGGATCCTGCACTTTATAAATGGACTTTGTCTTGTAATTATTTTAATTATATGCACATTTTTTAAAAAGTAACTCAAGATACAAAAAAAAAAATCAGCTTGCAGAATACACAGCCTGCCAGAAGCCACGGCTGCAAAGAAGTGGGAACCCAGGGCCACTCTTGTCCACGTTTGTGGGGAGACCTCTCTTCCTCTTGGCCAGCAATCAGAAGTCTGTCGAGAGCAGGAAACATGACTTTGAGCTGTGGCTTCACCTTACTTGTAATAAGGGCAGCTTGGGTAACGCATTCACTGTGCACCCAGGAGAACTGGCATTTGACATTCCAGTTCCCTTGGACCCTACCAGTAGATCCTGTCATCTCCATTGTACGGCTATGAAACTGAGTTTCAACTAAGTCCAATTGACAAGTTGGCCAATGTCACAGAGCTGCCAAGTAGCAGAGCAAAAATTCCAACCCGGGTCAGGCCCCGTGCATCCCATTCAACCTGAATCAGGCTTATACCAGACTGTGGAATTTCCAGTTTGCACACACTAGTACACACACCAGGTCCACCAAACATTCTTACCCACACACCTGTCCACAAGGACACACCCACTCAGATGTACTGCACAAAGACCCATTCTTCCCGGGGAATTCAGCAAGTGCGTGGCATATAGTTGTGGGGCTGTCGGTAATCTCCGCTTTTAACGATGCTCCTCCCACTCCCACCTCCCCAGAACCGGAGGAAACGATCCTGAAAACTACAATTCCCAAGCCCACCTCCTCTCACCACCTACAAGACCGGCCCGGGTGCACAGCCTCCTGGGACTTGTAGTTCTACCCAGAATTCAGATTTGCGTTCCTCCCCCAGCTCCGGCCGGGAACTCTGTGTCCCGGCATGCCACGGAGCCGGAAGACCTACTGAGAGGGCTTCCGCCACCGCCCGTGCGCGCAGGCGCACCGCTCCTGTTTGTCGGTGCCTGAGAAGGGAAGAGGTGCATCGAAGTCAAGACCTAGGCCGAGCCGGAGCTGACCAGACTAGACTCGGGCCCGGAACTAGGCTCCAGGCCTGCGCGGACCGGACCGGACCGGATCGTAGGACCCCGGTGTGGATGGAGTAGGCCCAGCCCCGAGATCAGCGCCAGCCCATTCGGCCTGGCTCCAGGCCCACAGAGCCGGCAGGCAGGCGAGCCGAAGCCGCCCGGGGCCTTCCTACAGGTCCCCCGCGAGGGGCCTAGGCACTGGCTCCGCAACCAGGCCCGGCCCAGCCCTTGGCAACCGGAGTCCACCCGATCAGAAGTGGAGATTTCACCGGGACCATAGGCCGTCACTAGGCCGGACCCGGGCCTCCCGTCGGGGCCGAACTGGGACGAGGCCCCGGGGAGGCCCCTAGTCTACTGCACCTTCCCTCAGGCCGACGCCCACCGGGAAGATGCAGCGCGCCCTACCTGGCGCCCGCCAGCACTTGGGGGCCATCCTGGCCAGCGCCAGTGTAGTGGTGAAGGCCCTGTGCGCGGCCGTACTATTCCTCTACCTGCTGTCCTTCGCTGTGGACACAGGCTGCCTGGCGGTCACCCCAGGCTATCTTTTTCCACCCAACTTCTGGATCTGGACCCTGGCCACACATGGGCTGATGGAACAGCACGTGTGGGATGTAGCTATCAGCCTGGCCACAGTGGTGGTGGCTGGACGCTTGCTGGAACCGCTCTGGGGGGCCTTGGAGCTGCTCATCTTCTTCTCAGTGGTGAACGTGTCTGTAGGGCTGCTGGGGGCCTTCGCCTACCTCCTCACGTACATGGCCTCCTTCAACTTGGTGTATCTTTTCACTATCCGCATCCATGGCGCCCTGGGCTTCCTAGGTGGTGTCCTGGTGGCACTCAAGCAAACCATGGGGGACTGTGTGGTCCTGCGAGTGCCCCAGGTGCGCATCAGCGTGGTGCCCATGTTGCTGCTGGGGCTGCTGCTGCTGCTGCGGCTGGCCACGCTGCTCCAGAGCCCGGCACTGGCCTCCTATGGCTTTGGGCTGCTCTCCAGTTGGGTGTATCTTCGCTTCTACCAGCGCCACAGCCGAGGCCGAGGGGACATGGCTGACCACTTTGCTTTTGCCACCTTCTTCCCTGAGATCCTGCAGCCTGTGGTGGGGCTGCTGGCGAACTTGGTGCACAGCCTCCTGGTGAAGGTAAAGATATGCCAGAAGACAGTGAAGCGCTATGATGTGGGGGCCCCATCCTCCATCACCATCAGCCTCCCAGGCACAGACCCTCAAGATGCGGAGCGGAGAAGGTACCGTGGAGTCTTCTGAAACCTTGTTGAACTAGGAGAATAATGATTAAGTCCCATTACGTCTGGCGGGGTGCATGCCGTATATAGCACAGCGGCCAAAGATCAGGTGTTGGGGCAGATTCAGAAAGACATCAAATCCGGTTTGCAGCCTGGAGGAATTAATGCAGCATTTAGGTGTCTGGGCTCCCGGAGGCGCTTCCCAGCATCAGGGAATCCTGCTTCTCTGACCACTCGTGCCGCTTAACAAGCCTCGGGAACTGTGCAGTTTCTTTTGGTGCTGTGTGAGGGGCTAATGGTCTCTGAATCCTGAAATCCTAGACCCTGGATCTGTGCAAGCCAGAAACAACCTGCTGGCCCGTGAGAGGGAGGGGCAGAGGAGACTGGGGTCCTTAAGAGGCCATCTGGGCCACCCAGTTTCCAGTTGCTGGGCCACGTCCTCTTCCTGGGCCTTAACTCAGATACTGTGCTTCTCTGCCACTTACTGAGCAGGAAGCTTGGGGAGTGTTACTAGACTTACCCCCACCCTTCTGCAGGTAGGCATGTGTTACCAAATCCAAGGGGCCAGGCCACATGACCCCAGGGAATGGAGACAACCTTTTCACTATCTATAAAGCAAGCCGTCTGCACCGCCAGGAGGCCCTGCGGAGCCACTCACTAGGTGCAGCTCAGCCAGGGCAGGGCAGCGCTTCTTAAGTCCGGCTTGCTCTCTCCCAGGTGTGTGGCCTCACCAGAGTGGTCACAGCTCTATGTCCATTATTCTTGGGGATTTTTTGAGGCAGTGATTTGAGTAGTGAAATCTGGAGCAGGCTATGTTCCTACTTTGGCAGTGTCCTGATTCAGCTGAAGAGTTAGCCCTGTGCTTACTCTCCACGGGGGTGGGTGGTGGAGTTGCATGTGGGACACACCCTTTCCTCAAAGGAGTTTCCAGCTGGGGAGCGCCACGGACTGCTGTGGTCAAAGGCAGTGGGTGCTGCAAGGCATAATTGTGGGCCCTACAGTTCATGTCTCTCTGGCAGATGAACCCTTAAGACCAAAGTCTGTCTTAACCTTATCCAGTGGAGGAGATGCAGCCAGCCAGGCTGAGCTTGGTGTGAGCTGTCCTCAGAGCTGTTCAGGTGGGGGCCGGGCCACAGTGGTGGCACCTCTGCAAGGGAGTGATCTTGGATTGTTAGGATTGTCTGGATGTTCAGAACACCTGCTCAGAAAATGCATAGGTGGAGGCAGGCCAGGGGTGGGATGTTAGGTGGATTCTTGGCATGGCCTTGTGGTTGTGAGCTTACCTGGGGACAGGGGTTACTCCTCCCGCCACTTTGACTTCTGGCTGCATGCCACTCCCACACCAGAAGGGCTGCTAGTCGTGGGACACAGGGTTTCCTAACTCTGACCCTTGTGAGGAAGTGACGAGGAGGCCACCACCTCTCTGCCTTGGCAGGCCTCGACAGAACCGACACAGCAACCTGCAGGGTGCGAGCCTGGGTGGCCGCAGAGGAGGACTGTCCTGTCTATGCCACTGTTGCCACATGCCGGTTTGGAAGACAGAGTGGAAGTGTGCTGGGGCTTTCTGTGCCCGTGTGATGGCTCTCTTTCCTGTCACGTTCCCTGGCAGCAGCCCACCTCCTGGTGGGCCAGGCTAGCTCCCCCCCTCCCCCAAAGCGGGGTTGCCAAGAGTCTGCCCAGGAGAACCAGTGCCCTACCCAGGTTTCTCCTTTCTCTCTTCCTGCAAGGACTCAGTGTGTCCCTTCTTAACATAGGTCCTGGTGGCTTTGGAGATTCTCCTGGGAAGGGGAACATTAGAATCAGCTGGGGCCGCTGGCAGACCTAAGATAGCCCTGCTTGCCAGGCTAAGAGCCAAGGCAGGTGCTTGAGTCCCAGCCTTCCCCACAGACCCTTGCCAGGAGGCTCAAAATACCACTAACAAGGATCGGGGAGGAGAATCACCCCCCAGTGATGCCAGGGCCCCGGCAGAAACTCACTGTCCAGGAACTTGCTCTTCCCCGTCTGTCTGGGAGCACCCGCCCTGCCCATCATTGGGTACACCCGCAGACCCACTCTTGAGGCTGGCTTGCTGGATAGTCCGGCGGACACCCAGCTGGCCTTCTCAGCCTGGAGGCCCCCTGGCTGGGGAAGGAAGGCTGTACTGCCTTCAGACCCTCATTCTGATGGCAGAGGGGGCCCTGATCCAATCGTGGGGAGCCCTGGGCCCTGCATGAGGAAGGAAAACACAGGGTTCTCCCCAGGGGTTCTCATTGGGAGGGGGAATCCGAGTCTTGGGGGAAGGGTGTAGGGCATGAGCCAAGTCCAAACGCAGAGTGACCTGTCCTCTTTCCTCTGGCCCCAGGCAACTGGCCCTGAAGGCCCTCAATGAACGACTGAAGAGAGTGGAGGACCAGTCCATCTGGCCAAGCATGGATGACGATGAGGAGGCCGGGGCCAAGGTGGACAGCCCCCCACCCTCAGACAAGGCCCCTGTGCTCTCCGGGCAGGGGGCAGCCCCAGAGCCCAGCCTGATCACCTTCGAGACAGCTTCCCCACAGCTGTAACTCCAGACCACCTTGAGTGTAGCCCCTGCTTTCCCACACCCCCCAACACCCTCTCAGCTCCTCTGAAGGGAGGAAAGATGGTCTGCTGGAGGCTTCCACAGCCTTCTGCTATTTCTCGCCAACACTACCCAGGACTCTGGCTACCTGGTTCCAACCCCAGACAACCATTATGTCAGGCATGGGGCCTCTGAAGCATCAGCCATCTGAGGTAAGACTGCACCTTGGCAGGCTGCTCCAAACAAGTGGCTGCAGGGACACTAGTGCCACAGCTTCTGGGCCAACCTTCACACCTGATGCTGCTTGCCGAGAGCCCTGAGCCAAGGCAAGGATCTGCCAAAACCCTTCTGGGGAGTCCAGCCAGCGTGGGAGCCAGCATGGGGCTGCACGCCCCTGCCCACCCCCAGGAGGACTGTGTTCCCGTCAAGATTTCAGTTCCCTCTGCTGTGGCCATGACTGTTTCCCAGCCAGGACAGTCCCAGCTCCCAGGGGTTTTCTACAGGACCACACGGGCGGGCAGCTGGGCCCAGCCATGCAGTATCAATAAAGCAGTTCTTGGAGGTGCGACTCCAGGCTCCGTCAGACCACTCTGCACAGCCCCTCATCAGGCTCAGCTGCAGAGCTAGACAGGGACTCTTGTTCCAGGGCTCGGGCCCCATAGCCACTCAGCTGGATAAGTGACCCACTGCCCTGCTCTCCCTCCTGTTCCCAGGTAGGGAGGCTGCCCGGGGAGCCGATGACCAAGGGCTTCTCTGTAGGGAATTGGTTTCATCCACGCTCATCTCCAAGACGGAGTGCTCAGGACTCAGCACTTCCGGAGACAGTCCAACCCTGTCCCCATCCTATTGCTGTCCAGATCTAACCAGCACTGTGGGCAGCCAGGGGACTGAAAGGGCACCCAGCTGCACCTTCACAGCCACAGCCCGGGGCTTTCTAGAGCCCTCAGTGGCCTGGGGTGCTCAGCAGCCAGGCCTGGGGGCTTGCGTGCTAGGACAGCTTCAACCCTCAGCAAGCAGCCAGGGACAGAACTCCCATTGTGCCCAGCTGCCCCTTTTTCGTGCTGGTGGTGTCAGCAAGAACTTTCCCCAACTCTAGGCTGTTGTCTCTCTCCGGTCTTTTCAGTTACTTTTTTTTTTTTATTTTGTTTTTCCTCCTTTAATTTCTGAACATATGGATACAAGTATGAGTTGAGTTGCTGGGGAGCCGGTCTTGCAACCCCACTGTCATCAAGACACATGGTCCTTGAACTCCTCTGGGGCGGCAGGGAGAGAAGGAAGGAGGGGCACTCCGGCGTGAGGAGCAAGCACAAATGTCATACACAGGACTCCTGTCCCTGATGCTCCGGTGCCTGAGGTGTCCCTGCGATCTAGTCAGCTGACAGTCCAGGAGGTCCTGGCCCCATCTCCGACAGTGAGGGGCACATCCAGATTTCCAGGCTGAGGAGAGCTCATGGCTGAATCCTTTTGCGGTATAGATAGGCATTGCTTACCTGGTTCATGATGACCAAGCTGGTAATGACAGGGCATAGCACAGCCAGGTACCAGACTCCCCCAGTGACTGTGGCAGTGAACCAGAGTGAGCACATGCCCAACAAGAGGCTGGCACTACCCAGAAGGTAGCCTACTAGCCCAGAAGTGGCATGGTACAGCTTGAGCTTGGCCAGGGGCCATCGGGGCAGCAATTTGGGGTAGAGCAGCCCCACCCCACCTGAACACTGAAGCACTGCCCACAGCACAGCCAGTAGCCCCAACCGCCCATGCCATGTGGCCAGGTGGGTTTTGCCAAGCTGTTCCTTGTGGAGGATGACAAGGCCCAAGCCCAGCAGTGCACACAGCAGGGCCAGCAGCTGCAGGACCCAATGGCAGCGTGCTCGGCCCTTCCTCGAGAGGGAGCGCAGCAGTGAACTCTCGGGAGAGAAGACCAGCAGTGCCTCCGTCATCAGGAAGGAGAACTGGGGAGACAGGGATGGACGCTGAGGGAGCGCGCTGCCCAGCAGAAGGGAGGAGAAATTTAGGTAACGTAGGCTGCCAGTCAGTCTGGGCAGATTCCCTCCCTTGTCTCCCCACTGACGGGAGTACCCGTTTGGTAGGGCAGGAGGAACAGAAGAACATCTGCCCTGAGTAACCTGCCAGAGGCACCCCTCCATACTTCCATGCTGTTCTGAAATGATGTCTGCTGTTACCCAGCAAACACAAGGTTTGAGATGTGGCACTTATAAATGATTCACAAGTTTGTTTCCCTGACACAGAGTGGATACAATTTCTTGGCAGACCTGGCCAAGCAGGTGCAGTGTGTCAGGGAAAATTAGATGCATCACTATAAGTTAAGGTAGAGACAGGGACACCCAAATTCGTTTTCTAAACTTACTGCCTGGAGGTGGGTGAAGCCTCATTTTGTGCTTAAACAAATGCTGTCCATTTGTCCTGGACCTTGAATACTCTGGTTCAGGGCCGAGCAGGAGTTTGGAGCATGCAATTCCAACAATCGCACACCCCATCCCTCCAAACATATCAAGTGACTAAGGATTCAGAGGCCACCAGGGCTGTCACCCATACCTAAGCTCCCTCCCAACCCTAAGAGCTGACCAGGTGCACTACTTACAGCAAGAGACATAAGCACGGGGTGCCAGGAGAACAGACCTGGAACGAGAAGAGGCTTTGTGAGGCTGGGGAAGAACCCAGCCACATCAGCGCCTACGGGCTTAGGAAGATGAGCAGTCCATCACAGGCAGTGCTGCCAAAACGCAAGTCCCCCTTGCTGCAACAAGCTGACCCCATAGCTAGCTTCCTGGTCCCTCCTGGATCAGAAAGGCCATGTTTTGCCACTCCTCTGGCAGTCCCTCCCACCCACTACACTTTGCAAGAAGCAGCCAAGTGGAGCACCAAGGCAGGAAAAAAGAAGCCAGGTGCTCCAGGGCCTAGCCAGGCTGGCAGAGCTCCCACACTCATTTACTCCATCCCACTTGTCCCTCCAGTATAGCATGTCCCTCAGCCAGCCAGACCTTTCCAGGAGTCAGGCCCAATAGTTCCTATTGCTCCCACTTCCCAGGAAAAGTAGCACTTTCCTTCCCAGAAGTTAATTATTACTTATACTTACTGGAGCCAGGCCTGGCAAGTACAGCCACAAAGATGGTGAAGCCTAGGGCCACAAGATGGGCAGCAGCCCCGGAGGCGGTGCGTAGAGCTCGGTAGATGTGCGACTCGGTCTCCATAGAAAGGGCCATGGTCAACCAGGCCGGTGGCTGTAGCCTGAAAACAGTAGAGTAAGCAAGGGTCACGAATGCCCGAGTTCCACTCTTCTCACTGGAGTAAGCGTTGCAGGGCAGGTATGCCACTCTCTTCCAAGAAGTGGAGGTAGGAAGGGACGCTACCAAGACAGGCACCAGCAATAATCCAGGACCGCTGTCCTGTCAGTATGTACCTGCATCTGAACTGGCACAGATGACTGACCCACCTTCCAGGTAGGATGTGCAAAGCCGTGTAATAGACTACAAATCCCAGCGTGTACCACGCTGTCGCCAGGCGGGAGCGCTAGCTGATAGGACGTGAAGCACTACGGGAAGTGTAGTTCCCAGCTGCGACCAAATTGCAGCCTGAATCCCTTCGCGCGCAGCCTCCTCACGTGCTGCTGGCATGCTGCCCCTCCACGCTAGGGATTCGCCTGCCTCACCCGCAGCGCCGACCGTAAGCGCTGATTTCCTCTGGAGAAGGTGGGATACTCCGGGGCCTGCCGTGCGCCGCAGCTCCGTCGTGGAGCCGCTTCACTTCCGGGTGTGAAGACTACCCACCCAGGACTTCCTGAGACGAGCCCCCTCTGCAGCCCCTCCTCTGAGGCTCTCTGCGCAGGCGCTGTTGAGCAGTCAGCGTCTTAGATGTGTGAGTGCGCAGGCGTGCCTGACTGAGAGCTGAGAGGCCTTGGAGCTTTTTCTGAAAGGTGTTTCCCGAGGCCAGGGCGCCACGATCTAAGGTCCTGGGGCCCTCTAGCGCCATGGGCAGCAGCTGCCGCATCGAATGCATATTCTTCAGCGAGTTCCACCCCACGCTGGGACCCAAGATCACCTATCAGGTGACATCGGGCTCGCAGGGTTGGGGGTGGAAATAAGTACGCTTTCGGGAGCTCAGCCGGCTGTCTGGAAGCAGTGATCCCGATCCCCACGCTGCATGCAAGCCCGCTACTTCTTCATTCACGGAAAATATTGAACCGAAAGGATACTCAGACCCGCGTCCCAGGGTCCTGGCTTGGCGGAACAGACAAACATCTCATAGACAGTTATTGTGGGAAATCGGGCTGTGGGGATCCAGGGGAGGTGTGCCAGGTCCCACGAGAGGTGGGAGTGGGTGGTCCACTACTATTCTTGAGTGCATAGGAATTTAGCTGAGTGGGGAGAGATTCTACCAGGTAGAGGGAGCAGCATATGCCAAAGCCTGAAGGCAAGTGAGAACATATCATGTATTTGGAAACTAAGTAGTAGTAGGCCTGGGCTGATGGGAGAGAACAGCTGAAGAAGAGGGCTTAAGTCCTGGGGGATTTCCAATTTTGCTCTGACAAGTCCCGAGGTCCGCTAAAGAGCCTTTTGCAACTCCACTTCCCAGGTTCCTGAGGACTTCATCTCCCGGGAGCTGTTTGACACTGTCCAGGTGTACATCATCACCAAGCCAGAGCTGCAGAACAAGCTCATCACTGTGTGAGGCCCTAGCCAAGGAGATCCTGGGAGGAGTGGGTGAGCTTGGGAGTCGGGGGAGCCTGACTCTGTTCCCACTTGTTTCTTTATCTAGCACAGCCATGGAGAAGAAACTGATTGGCTGCCCTGTGTGCATCGAGCACAAGAAGTATAGCCGCAATGCCCTGCTCTTCAACCTGGGCTTTGTGTGTGACGCCCAGGCCAAGACCTGCGCCCTTGAGCCCATCGTCAAAAAGCTGGCTGGCTACCTGACCACACTGGAGGTCTGCAACACAATGGGCTCGGGTGGATGGGCAGGCAGATTTGGGGAAGGTATCCACATGTCTCCAAAGCCCTTTATACCTAAGAACCTGCCAGGGCAGGATGCTAGCTGGGGGTCCTGCGGTGTGCCCACCATGCTATCCATGCTCCATCCAGCTAGAGAGCAGCTTCGTGTCAACGGAAGAGAGCAAGCAGAAGTTGGTGCCCATCATGACCATCTTGCTGGAGGAGCTAAATGCCTCAGGCCGGTGTACTCTGCCCATCGGTATGCCCCAGCCTCTGTGAGGACAGCAGAGGGTGTAGAAGGGGTGGGAAAGTGACAGGGGAAGGTGAGCCCAGCCAAGGACAAGACTCATGAACAAATTCATGGCCAGGAAATAGTCATGAGCTGAGTTTATGATGTCCAGTGTTCTGTGTATCATGGGGCTGGGGCTGGGGAGGCCAGCAGAGCCCTTCAGCTCTGCTCCATGGCCATGTTCCTTCCCCTCTCTGGGCCTCAGTCTGTCACTTTATAAAAGGGGAAGATTGGCTCTACCCAGAGCTACCTGCCTGCCTCAGGGTTTGCTGGGAGAACTGGATAATAACTGAGGGCCTCTTAGAAGAGAGCACTGAGAATACGGGTGGGACCCCCTGCAGATGAATCCAACACCATCCACCTGAAGGTGATCGAGCAGCGGCCTGACCCTCCTATGGTTCAGGAATATGACGTGCCTGTCTTTACCAAGGACAAGGAGGATTTCTTCAACTCACAGTGGGACCTCACCACACAACAGGTGTGCTGTCCCTCCCTGGGCATCACCACCTGGGGCTGTCTACCTCCCTGGCTTCATCCAACCCCTCCTGACCCTGCTCTGCCCAGATCCTGCCCTACATTGACGGTTTCCGCCACGTCCAGAAGATCTCAGCTGAGGCAGATGTGGAGCTCAACCTAGTGCGCATCGCCATCCAGAACCTGCTGTGAGTGACGCAACAGTCATACCCAGGGTGGGGTTGCCAGCCAGGAAAGAGCCCCAGGGACCTGAGTGTGGGAAGGCATGGTCCTCAGAGGCTAAGCACAGCCCTCTCTCCCAGGTACTATGGTGTTGTGACCCTGGTGTCTGTCCTCCAGGTAGGTGAGTCTGGGCTCTGGTTCTGTGGAGAGTGGGTCATGTGGTTGGGCCAGATTTGGGCGGTGTCGGATGTCCAGGCCTCTCACTCAGGCCCCTGTGCCTTCTGCTGCCTGTCCTCCAGTACTCCAATGTATACTGCCCGACACCCAAGGTCCAGGACCTGGTAGATGACAAGTCCTTGCAAGAGGAGTGTCTATCCTATGTGACCAAACAAGGTAATGGTGGGCTCTGGGGAAGCCATCTCAGGAAGGGCAGGTCCACCTGGAGAGCTGACCCCTGGTGCCCACAGGGCACAAGAGGGCCAGTCTCCGGGACGTGTTCCAGCTGTACTGCAGCCTGAGCCCTGGCACTACTGTCCGAGACCTCATCGGCCGCCACCCACAGCAGCTGCAGCGCGTTGATGAACGGTCAGAAGGGGGTTCCCTGGGACATGAAGGGCATGTCTGAGGGCAGATACACCCCTTCTGTCTCTTTGGAGCCCTGGGCTAGAGAGAAAGCAGGGGTTTGCAGTTGAGCAGAACCATGGGCACCATTAGTCCAGGCAGGCTTCTTGAAGGGGATGGGTTTGGAAGTCAGTCTGGTCACTGAGACAGAATTGGAGGGGAGGCTGCAGGAAAAGGTTGGCCTAGTAGAAGAAAGTCTGGCCAGGGCATCACCCCCCTCTTCCTCGGCATGGGCCCCAGGAAGCTGATCCAGTTCGGGCTTATGAAGAGCCTCATCCGGAGACTTCGGAAGTACCCTGTGCGGGTGTCTCAGGAGGGGCGGAGCCACCCTGCCCGGCTTTACACCGGCTGCCACAGCTACGACGAGATCTGCTGCAAGACAGGTAGAGGCGGGCAGGACAGCTGGGTCGGGGTAAGGACAGGGTGGCCAAGGGTGCTGACCTTACCTCCACCCCCCAGGCATGAGCTACCACGAGCTGGATGAACGTCTGGAAAATGACCCCAACATCATCATCTGCTGGAAGTGAGGCTGGTGTGGGGCTGGACACGGCTGTAGCTACTCTCTCCTGCTAAGCCCTGCCTGGTGCATGAAGGCTAGACTATCCTGTCTCACTGTTGACCCTCACTTCTGTAAATAAAGTCAAACATTTCAACCTATTTGACTGAATACCACCTCTGAGCCAGCCACTGGAGAACCAGCAGTGAGTGAAATAGCCAGGTTCCTGGCGCCTTGGAGCGCCATCTGGTGGTCAGAGCCAGCAATGGACAAGTAAATGGGCAGGCTACTTTATCAATAAAAATTTAAATAAAATCAGGAAGCTGTGATGAAGAGTGGGTTGGGATAGGAGCTGGAGCTGCTCTGGATTTGATGCGCAAGGAAGGCCTTGCTTAGGTAACTTAAACTGAGCCCTTAAGGAGAAAGAGTATTCCAGGGAACAGGTGCAGAAGCTCTGAAGCAAAAACCACTTAGGGGTGTGTGAGGAGCCCAAGGGGCGGACCGTGGGGCTGGAACATCAGAGGCAAAGGGAGGAGGAGCAAGAGACAAAGTCACGAAATAGGAGAGGGAGCAAGAGCCTGATACTTCAAGCTGCTGGGGAGCTACTTTAGACGTAGTATTTTGAAGGCCAGAGGCAGCCACAGAGTGACCCTCAAATAATGTCTCATGTACCCCTTTTTAACAATCCGGTAAGAAGGCTGGTGTGGCTCAGTGGATTGAACACCTGCCTGCGAACTAAAGTGTCTCGAATTCAATTCCCAGTCAGGCCACATGCCTGAGTTGCAGGCCAGGTTCCCAGGCGGGGGCGCGCCAAAGGCAACCGCACATTGATGCTACTCTCCGTCTTTCTCCCTCCCTTTCCCTTTCTCTAAAAATAAATAAGTAAAGTCTTTTAAACAAACAAACAAAAAAAGGCTCAGCAGTGACTCCCTGCGTGGTGACGGTAGCCTGGACTAGGATGGAGAGAAGTTGGGGCCCTGCGCAGTATGTCGGGGGCCCAGCCAACAGGCAGGGCTGGGCACAAGAACAGGAGCGAGGGAACCCAGGACAGGAACCTGGGTTCAGGCGTGTGGCGCAGCCCCGCGAGACCAGGTCGGAGCGGCTGATTTGACCTCGCACCTAGGCCACAGGAGTTGCACTCTGGAGACCCTTGATCTGCAGATGGTTGTGAGGGAGGCAACTTGGGAAATCCGAAAAGGTTGCTGTCCGCAGCCCAGCAAGCGAGGACCCGCGTGGCCTCGGGCAGGGGCGGGGCCCAGGCCACACTGCGCAGACTCCGGAGCTAGCCGTTTCCATGGCAGCGAGGCCCACGCGCCCCAGCAGCTCCGCAACTGTCGCGTCCCAGACTTCCACCCCTCGGGACGCCCAAACGTGTCAGTATCCCCACCTCTGCGCCGACTGCTGCCCAGGGTTTTCTCTGTCCCAGGCCCCACCATGGGCGACCTGGAGCTGCTGCTGCCCGGGGAGGCTGACGTGCTGGTGCGGGGACTTTGCAGCTTCCCGCTGCTGGAGATGGGCTCTGAAGGGTGAGGCAGCTGGATCAAGGGCCCGGCAGAGCCATGGGGTCAGAGTCCTTGAGTGGGGGGGAGTTCCGACATTGGAGGGAGGGGTTATCCAGCATGGAGGGGCCCCCAAGTAGGGAGGTAAAGCTCCCCAAAATACAGGCATACAGTCCCGGGCCCCCCGCCCCTCGGCCCCTCAGGTTCAGGTTACATTGTCATGGGACTCAGCCCCCACCCCGTCCCACTGCATGCATGTGCACACACACACACCCTCTGGGGCAGGTGGACCCAGCAGCATGAGAACCTGGAGAAGCTGAACATGCAGGCCATCCTTGATGCCACGGCCAGCCAGGGCGAGCCCATCCAGGAGCTGCTGGTCACCCACGGGAAGGTATGCTGCCTTCTCCCGCTCCACCACTCTACCCCTGGGGCGGGGCTGTTCTTCCCTCCAGCTGGTACACCTGTCCTCCCTGAAGGAGGAGGAGTGTGTTATACCTTTGGTTTTGCTCCACTACTGGACACAACCCTAGCATGCCAGGCCAGGTGCAGAGTGTAGGGTCACTACAAAGACAGTTACAGGTCCTAGAACGGCCGAGACTGCAGAGGAAGGGCCCAAGTTCCAAAGGCATTCCTGAATAGACTTTCAGGCTGGAGGGGGCCCCACTGAAGTGGGGGTGGGACTCTGGCGTGGAAGGAGGCAGCCTTCCCATTACGAGAAAGAAGGAGTTAGAAACCAGGATTGGTTTGGTTGGAACTTGAGCCAGGAGGTGGCACCAGTAGAAGACCCAAGACATCACTTGACTAAAGGGTTCCTCTGCAAGGAAAAGGGGGGGTTCCCTCCTAGGGTGGAATAGGAATGGGGTCCTGTGAAGGGCCCTAGCCAAGAATGAGGCCAAGGCACACAAGAGCCTCAGGAAGCCAGAAGACAGGGACCAGAGGGAGGGCCTGCACAGAAGGGCTGGACTGAGAGGTACCTGAATGGGGGCAGAGGGGGCACATATACAGGGGGAGCCAGGCAAGGACCAGTCACAGGAAGCATGGGAGGGGTCCACAGAGATGTTGGGGACAGATAGAAATGATGGCCAAGGTGCAGAGGAGAGGTCAGGAATGTATTCATGGGGCATAGGAGAGTCTAGGGGCCCAGGGGAATTTGAGGAGAGCTGGGCTAGCCTGAGCCAGGGATGGAAGGTTGCCAGGCCAAGGTAGGCCTTCTCATTCCTGTCCTTTCCTCCCCCCTTGAAGATCCCGACGCTGGTGGAGGAGCTGATAGCAGTGGAGATGTGGAAGCAGAAGGTGTTCCCTGTGCTGTGCAAGCTGGAGGACTTCACGCCCCAGAACACGTTTCCCATATACATGGTGGTGAGCTGGCCTGCTCTGCACCCTGTGCCCAGGGTCAGAGGACCCTGGACTAGAGAAGATAGCTGCCAGCCCCCACGTCAGCAGCCCTAGACCCTGTCCTCCTCTCTGTCTGCCAGGTACACCACGAGGCCTCCATCATCAATCTCCTGGAGACTGTGTTCTTCCACAAGGTAAGGCACCAGTCCTGCCCACTGGCTACTGCCCCAGGCCAGGTCCTGGTGGCAAGGGGGGTTGTGTCTGGGGAGGGGGACATCAGAGAGAATGTTTCCCCTCCACCTGAGTCCAGGAGGTGTGTGAGTCAGCAGAGGATACTGTCCTGGACCTGGTGGACTACTGTCACCGCAAACTGACCCTGTTGGTGGCCCGGACTGGCCATGGTGGCCCCCCAGAGGAGGAGGAGTCCCAGTATAGCACCCCCATGCAGGTGGGCTGAGGTTCCCTGGGGCTGGCAAGGGCTAGACCCAGGATCCCCGTGGCCTGAGCACCGCATGCTCCGCAGGAGCTCCAGAAGCAGGCAGAGCTGATGGAGTTTGAAATCGCGCTGAAGGCACTCTCAGTGCTCCGCTACATCACTGACTGCGTGGACAGGTGGGCTCCCCTGCCTGGCCTGGGATCGGCAGTGGAGGACTGGGAGCCTGGGCCTGTCACCTCTGCTTATCTCTCTCCACCCCCATTCCTAGCCTGTCCCTGAGCACCCTGAGCCGCATGCTCAGCACCCACAACCTGCCCTGCCTCCTGGTGGAACTACTGGAGCACAGTCCCTGGAGCCGGAGGGAAGGAGGTAAGGTCCTCCTCCTACTCCTCCTGCCTAAGCCCTGGCTTCCAGGATTGACAGAGATGGGCAGTGTACACCCAGGCATACAAACCCTGCCCCTAGCCCACAGAGGACATCAGGATGGCTCACCAGATGTGGGCCTAGATCTAGACTCTGCAGCAGGCAGGACTTAGAACTGCTACCAAGGACCCACCATGCTCCGGAGCAAGCGGCACTGCAGCATGGGCTAGTCCTGTGCCCAGGGCAGTGGTCAGTCCCCGAGCCCATGCAGCTGGCTCACTCGCAGAGCACACGATGCCTGCACCCAGTATGCTGGTTCCTCCCCACAGGCAAGCTGCAACGATTTGAGGGAGGCCGCTGGCAGACAGTGGCCCCCACAGAGCAGCAAAAGCTGAGCAAGCTGGATGGGCAGGTGTGGATTGCCCTGTACAACCTGCTGCTGAGCCCTGAGGCCCGGGCCCGCTACTGCCTCACAAGCTTTGCCAAAGGACAGCTACTCAAGGTGGGGACTCCCCCCATACCACCCCCACAGTCCCAGGGCTGCCCCTACCCCATCCCTGCTGTTTGCCTTTGCCCCGCCCCACCTCAGGCCCAGTCCTATTTCCAGACCTTGGCCCTCAAGTAACAGCAGTTAGTGGGATGTGGGGTGCGGTCCCCAAGGCACCCCTCAGCCCAGCCCAGGCCCTGCCTGTTTCTTGACCTTCTGGCCAGCACCATTTCCCACTGGCCTCCCCTGGACACCCTTGCAGCTCCGGGCCTTCCTCACAGACACACTGCTTGACCAGCTGCCCAACCTGGCAGACCTGCAGAGCTTCCTGGCCCACCTGGCCCTGGCTGAACCCCAGCCCCCCAAGAAGGACCTGGTGTTTGAACAGGTAGGCACTAGGAAGTTAGCTGCTTGGGACCACCGCTCACTTTGCCAGCTCCTCCCTGCCACTCTCCGCTTCTCCCCCACCGCCCCCTGCAGATCCCAGAAATCTGGGAGCGGCTGGAGCGAGAGAACAAAGGCAAGTGGAAGGCTATTGCCAAGCACCAGCTGCGGCATGTATTCAGCCCCTCAGAGCAGGACCTCCGGCAGCAGGCGCGGAGGTGAGGCCTGCTGAGCTGGCAGACAGTGTGGAATGGATGGGAAAGGCACGAGCATGGGCGGGGTGCTCCTGTGTCCCCACCCACCAGGCCCAGACAGGCCCTCCTGACCCTTTACCCAGGTGGGCCGACACCTACAGACTGGACGTGCTGGAAGCAGTGGCTCCAGAGCGGCCCCGCTGTGCCTACTGCAGCGCAGAGGCCTCCAAGCGCTGCTCACGGTGCCAGAAGGAGTGGTACTGTTGCAGGTGAGGGTGTCCCAGGACTTGGGTCCCTAAGCCCCACCCTCACACCCCCATGAGCACTGCGTCCTCACTGGCCCACTTGCCTGCAGGGAGTGCCAAGTCAAGCACTGGGAAAAGCACGGAAAGACTTGTGTCCCAGCAGCCCAGGGCGACAGAGCCAAGTGAAGGCTGCAGCTGCTGAAGGCCGACCACCAACGCCACCCTTGAGAACTCAGCCTGGCCTCTGCTAGAACCCCCATCTCCCAGGTGGAGCGGCAGGCAGGGCGGAGCGGCAGTCCAGTCTCCCCCAGCAAAGAGCTCCCCACCCCCACCCCCACCCCGTTTCCTGCCCCACCCAGCGGGTAGGCTTAGGGCGCTGCCTCAGCTGGGGCAGGCTGCGGCCTGGGCGAGGGGCGAGGGCCGGATGTGGGGACCCTCTTCCTCTTGCATGGTAAAGTTGGCCTCCAGAAACCTGCCTCTCTCCGCGTGGCCCTTTGCACTCCCTCTTCGTCGTGAGGGGGAGGGGAGTAACTCTCGGGATGAAGAGAGGGAAGGACAGGGAGGGCGGGGACTGGGAGAGAGTCCCCCACCGCTGCCCCCTCCGCCCCTCTTTGCCTGTGGGGCGACACAGCCCTGGCGCCCAGGTTTCCATTGCACAGCTCTCTCCCACTGCTCTGCCTCAATCTCCGGGGCGGTGCTGCATCGAGGCCCGCCCCAAGGTCCCGCCCGCCCTGCAATTGCTCGTTCCCAGAACTGGCCGAGCCCGGGCGGACCAACCGGGCCATGTCCGCTGAGCCTGAACTCATTGAACTGCGGGAACTGGCCTCCGCGAGGCGCGCCGGCCCAGGTCGCGCCCGTCTGGAGCGCGCCAACGCGCTGCGCATCGCGCCAGGCACAGCCCGCAACCCAGCAAGGCAGCCGGTCCTGGGCCGTGGCCACCGCTTCCAGCCTGCGGGGCCCACCACGCACACATGGTGCGACCTCTGCGGTAACTTCATCTGGGGCGTCGTGCGCAAGGGCCTGCAGTGCGCGCGTGAGTAGCAGCCCCATGCACTATCGAGAGCTAAACGGGTGGTCAAAGGGCAGCACTGCCGCTGACGGACAAGTTGCGACAGAGAGGGTAGGCTGGGATGTCCCCAGGACCAAGTCCGTTACCCTGACCCCATCAGGGAAGTGAGAGTGGGCACATTTCATGTCCTTGCACACTGCACCTGTGTTTGGGACACAGCCGAGCAGAGGCAGTTACCAGTGAATTCCAAGGTACTGGTTTCAAGTTGCAAATCTTTAAAGTACCTTGGTCCTTTTTGAGAAAGGCTTTGTGCCTACAGTCTCTTATGTCCGAAATTTCAGGCCTGCCCCTTCCCAAAGATTCACTCACCATGTCCCCTCCCAGAATCCTTTGAGGGGAATTTACCCACCTATGGGAGGAGGCCTGGAAAGCGTTAGTACCTTGGGTGGGTTCCCTGCAAGCAGGAATTGTTGTCTTCGTATAGCAAATACCTATCACAGACCGAGTCAGCTAGGTGCTACAACACAAAACACAGCCACACACCCAAGGCCCTTCTGCCCTCTCTGGTACCAGCAGCAAGCTGGTAGAGCAGAGGTTGCTCTCCACACAGCTACAATCACTTGGGATGCTTTTATAGCCGTCCAAACCCCTCTGCCTGGACCCTCCCTCAGACCCGCTGAATCACTCACTGGGAGTGTACTCTCGATTTTTAAAAGCATCTTTCTAATATGCAGCCTGGGTTTCGAACCACTGCTCTAGACCATTTAAGAACTGAAGGAAGGTGTCCTAGGCCTGCCTGCCTGTGTGTGCATGGAGACCTGCTCATTTGGCATAGGATTCTGTCCTGAATTCAGCTGGGAGGAGACACAGGAGATGTGACAGAATACAAAGCATGAACTAGGGCCGGGATGTTGCAGTGTTCCAGAGAAATAAAGTGGCCGTGGAAATAAAAAAAGAAAAAAAAAACCCACAAACCAGGACAATTTCCATGTGTATCAGAGGCAGAAACAAGGAAGGAATGGAAGATGAGCTGGGGTTTCTTGCCTCATACAATTGGGAGAATAGTAGCAATCTTGACTGAGATGAGGAACTCCAGCGAGGGTATGTTGTGGTGGAAGAAAAGGGAGTTAAATTTCGGCCACGTTGGGTTGGAATGTCTGTTAGACACCCGAGTGAACATACCGACACATAGGGTTTGGTCTGAGGGTAGAAGTCAGTGGTGGAAGCCTTGGAGCTGGGGTGGGGTGAGTACGCAGGGCAGTGACCAAGACCGAGCCCCCCGGGACACTCCGGCATCAGATGTGGGAGTTGAGACAGAAGGAAAGGAGCTCAGCAGGAGCTGTGGGAAAGCAGGAGGAAACCGAGGTCGTGGGAGCCCCTCGGAACCGAGGGGAGTAGCATTAAATGTTGCTGAGGAGGTGAGGATGGAGAATGGACCGCGGGACTCGGCGGCGTTCAGGTTGCTGAGGACCCTGACCAGGGCAGTTTCCTGGAGGGAAGGGCAGGCCTGACTGCAACGGGTGGGGAGAGTGAAGGCCAGGAATGAGTGCATGTAGATCAGAGCTGATACGTTTTGGTCCGGAAGGAGAACAGACAGATAACTCAAGGGTGACACGGGTTAAAGCACTGCTTTTCCCTTCAAGGGCAGAGAGAGGGGCTGACAATGTGGAAGCGGTATGTTCCGCCCCAGGCGCTGGAACTCCAGCTGTGGAGCCTGCCTGGATCCTTAACCGCTGAGGCCTTCCTGCCTGTTTCCAGACGCGGGGAGGGGGGTCTAACACGAGAATCTGTGTAGCAGTGGGCGGGAACGGGGCCTCAAGGGCAGTTAGGCAGAGCCCAGCGGTCAACGTCCTTCACCCTGGGGCTTCTCTTCCATCCCTGGGACACCTCTTCCATCCCTGGCACACTTCTCGAAGGCAGCCGGAGCTGGGGCTCCTCTGCCTCACGGGCAGGCCTCTCTGCAGATTGCAAGTTCACTTGCCACTACCGTTGCCGCGCGCTCGTCTGCCTGGACTGCTGCGGACCTCGGGATCTGGGCTGGGAACCGGCGCTGGAGCGGGACACAAACGTGGTGAGTTTGGGACAAGGGGGCTCTACAGGCGAGGAGCGGCCCCATCTCAGGCATAACCCAGGGGTAGCCCACGACGCGAAAAGATCCGTTCTAAGAACGGATTTCCGGGCGGCAGGGGGCTAACCGCGCGCAGGCTCGCAGGGGTGCCGTGAGTGCTGCTGCCTGTAAGAGAATTGCCCAAATCCCCGAGGCTCGGTGCCTGCGCAATTTCCGCACCTTTCCGCATCCGGTCCTGCGGCCACGCTGGTGCACATGCGCACAGGCGCGCGTGCTCCCACTTGTTCCCTAAAGAAACTGGGACCTAGGGGCGGAGCTGAGCTGAGCTGCCAGGGCGGTGAGATCATTCTCTGACTCACCGCGTGTGGCCCCGCCCCTCAAAGTTTCTCCTCCAATGAGACGAGGACAAGATAGACCCTGCCGGCCAGGTTTCAGTGTTAACGGTTGCCGCGCGGACATTGGTCCCAGCGCACGCGCACACGGGCGCGCGCTCGCAATTGGGGCGGTGGTTGGCGGCTTCGGGCGTCCAGGGCTCAGTGAGCTAGCTGGTTAGCTAGCTGGTTGGTGGGCTTGGCGATGGGCGAGGCGCCCGTGGGGACACCTTCTTTCGAGATGACCTGGAGCAGCACGACAAGCAGTGGCTATTGCAGCCAGGAGGACTCGGACTCGGAGCTCGAGCAGTACTTTACTGCGCGTACCTCGCTGGTGCGCCGGCCGCGCCGGGACCAGGTGGGGACCTGAGATTGAGGGTGGGACGGAGGGCCGGGGGCGCGGTCACTGGTACTCCGCCCCTCCCCGGTAAGGTTACGCAGCAGGAGAGTTTGCGGGCATCCCCGCGCTCCCGTCAGCGTGGGTACCGGACCTTTCGGGGGCCAGCCCCTGTGTCAGCTCAGCGTGTCGGTCCTGGGTGCCCAGGCCTTGCTCTCTGTCACAGACCGGTTGAACCAGGGGAAGCAGCTACGTGGCTTGAGGTAGACCAGGGACGGGCATTAGCCATCTATGACTAAAGCCGACTGCGCAGTCTGGACTAGGACCTCGATTTCCGCCTTCGGGGGCTCCCTCCCGCTCTGGGAAGAAACCGGGAGGAGGAAATGGAGAGGGAGGAGTCCTCGCCGGGAATTGAGAAGTGTTTTTAGGAAAGAGGCGAGGCATGGTCTGCGCCCTTCCATACGCACTCCTGGATGGAGCCAGCTGAGTCTCCACCTCTTGCCCGTCCTGGCCTGTCACCAGCTTTTGGAATGTGGAAGATTCTGATCCCCACTTTGGAGTGGATCCGGAGTGCCGGCTTTGGGAGCACATACACAGACATTGGACCGGATCTGGAGATAAGGGGTTTAGAAATGGATGGGCAGGAAGCCTCCTCTTGGACTGTAAGCATCCAAGAGCACTTCATCCACAAGAGATGGGGGAAGGCTAGATTGTAAAATACCTGAGGGGGGGTCGAGAGAGGGGGGGTTACTTATCCAGGAGCAGCTGTGCCTCTTGGCATCTCCTAGGTGTCTCCTTGCTCAGAGATCTCTGTGCTGTGTGCCATGAGTGTGGCTGCCAGGTTCAGATGACTGACTGTTCTGGAACTGGCACAACTCAGGGGAGCATCCCGGCCAGAGCATCGGAAAAGAGACAGGGACTATAAGGCTGTGTATCTGGCAGCAGTGTAGCAGAATTCCTTACATGAGCCAAGAGAAGGGAGTTGTCGATTTCTTTAAAAGATTTTGCTTATTTTTTTAGAGAGAGGGAAGGGAGGGAGGAGAGGAAGAGAAATATCAATGGGAGAGAGACATTGATCAGGTGCCTCTTGTACATGCCCTGACCAGGAACTGAACCCGCAACCCAGGCATGTGCTCTAACTGGGAATCAAACCAGTGACCTTTTGTTTTGCGGGATGATGCCCAGCCAACTGAGCCACACTGGTCAGGGCTGGATATTTGTTTAGATGAAAAATTTATACCTCAAAAGCTCAGCCCAGAGCTTTCAGGCAAGATTTGAGTGTGGATCCCTGAAATTTTCTCTGTTCCTCAGGCCTGAGCCATTTTCCATTGTGGAAAGGTGAGAAAAACCACAAGACACTAACCAACTAAAAGGAGGCTAGGGAGTCCCAAGTTTTATGTAAAGTAAAACCATCAGTCACTACGGACAGTGGGAGAGTGGAGAGTTGGTTGCTATGGTGCAGGGATGGGAAATTCCATGGTCCTGCTGTGCACCCCTCTGGGATGGTGGTTGGAATCCTCCTCCACTTTGGAACCATAAAAAGAAACTTCCTCCTCTGAAATCCTGGTAGGACAGTCCAGTGCCTCCAGTCCAGGTCCCTTGTTTCAGGAGTAAATAAACCAAAGGAGGTTCACCTGGAGAAGGAAAGGGGCTGGAACTGAGGTCACACTGCCTCCCATGGGGGGAAGGGGGGAGCCTGAACAACCTGGGAAGGGAAGAGGAAAGAGCAAGTTTTCTCACTCCCAGGCTGGA